CTCCCAAAATTTGTATAAATCTATAGTGTCTACTTTTCACCGTTTCTGACAGCAGGGCATAGAGTGATAAATGAGTACAGATGTTAATTTAGTGCCATTTTAAACTAGTTCATAACTATATTTTCTATAAATTTATATATTTATTGGTACTTAGGGTATATTTAAATGTGGAAAATAAGAATATAATAAATAGGGTATCAAGCCGCCTGTAGAGCTTGAGAAAACTGGATAAATTAGGATGTCTTTGTCATTAAGACTGGAAGCACAACTCAGTAGCAGGCCGACTTAGCTCCAATATGAAATGGTAATCTCACTCTAATGAAATTAGATAGGTTAGTTCTTGATATTGCCACGTGGAAAATTAGGGCAGACAAACTTCAGGATGGCACAGCAATTTATTTAGGACAAATACAAACAATGAATGATAAACAAAAGATAAAAGCAATGAGAGAAGTATACAGAGTAACAAAATATAAACATCTAAAATGATACTCTGTTAATAAAATAATAAATACTTTGCTACAATGTTAAAAACAAAAAGGCATATCTGACCGCTCACATTAGTATCTTAGATTGTAGAGCGTCATCTAGTGGAACAAAATCAAATAAACGTTGATTTAACTTGTTCCACATTATATTTGGCCAACCCATTTTCTTGATAATTCAAGAAAAGCCAACCACGAACGCGTTCCAGGCTGTTGGCCCTCGTCAGCGTGATGCAGGCTGTATCTCTAAGACCAAATATTTGGTCCAAGAAGCTTCCTGAGAAATTTATATAAATGCGGAATTTTTTAGATACATATTTCTAGGCCTTAATATTTTAATATTACTTTTATATTCATAATAAAAGGGAATTAACTATTGATAATGGCTATATGAAAATATGTAAAATGAAAGCAACACGGATATAAATTTGTTTTCAAAGAGAAAGTCGAAATTTTCAAAATTTATATTTTATTCATAGAAAGATTCCAACCAAAAGTCAATAAAAATCAGATCTACCAGCCCCTCTCCAAACGAAATCAATTTAACACCGCGATTATGCAAATTTATTAGGGGTAAATGATAGCGTTTGTTCTCTGCTACGAGTAAAAAATATTCCGGTTTAATCCGGCCAATGAAAAGGTAAAAATTGAATCGGACGAGTAAATTTGCTATTTATTTATTTACCGCCATTCTTTGTTTTGGAACAAATCGATCTGGGAAGTGGGACCAGATTAAAAAATAGATTGCACAGAGGGAGATAAATAAATATAATTCTTTTTAATATTAGAAAAAATACTGTTTTTATTTTCAGTTTGGTAAAATTACTATTTGTTTTACTTTAAATTATTTTTATTTGTGTGTTCCAATTTTTATTTTATAATTGTGTGTGTGTAAAATTCTAGAGAATAGAAAATTTTTCAAGCATAGAAAGAATTGATAGTTTTTACCCAGCGTGCATTCAACATATCTATAAATACATTATTAGAAATTGTAAAGATGAGGGAGGGCAGTATTCATGTGTATAAAAATATAATTTTCCATTTAATAAATGCATAAAAGGATTTATTGAATGCAGTAAAACAATACATACTTAAATACCTTATTAAATACTTCGTAAAAAGTTTCGTTTCTAATTTATTATTTTATTTTATTTCAATTTAAAAAGCGCTGTGTCCCCCTAGGGACACTTGCGCTGTCATAGATGTATACCTTTACTTTTGTCTATACATATATATACAGTAATTTTAGGCCGTGAATAGAATAGTCATATGATATTAACAATGAGAAAGTAAGAAAAAAACGAGAAAAAGGCCTATGTAAAAAAGAAAGAAGTGTGGAAATATGTACAATAAGCTTAATATATTAGTTTCTTAAAAGATATTTGCTGCTTTATAATTTAAAATATATTTTTAAAAGGTATTGAATTTATTTTTCAAATATATTATCATTGGCATGTATGCCTTCGAATTAACGAACTCTTTCACATGCATTTCTTCTAAGTATTTACATTACTAAATGTATAACCTTAGAAGAAACGCCCGTTGAAGTGTTTTTTAATTCGAATACACACAGACCAATGATAATAAATTAGAAAAGAAAACTTTTGTGGAGTAGTTGATTAAGTATTCAATCCTGTATAGGGCGAGTGGCCCTAAATAAAGGCTTTTTGTTGTTGTTGTTGTTGATTAAGTATTCAAAATATTTTCTGCAATTTCAACCGTGATGAACTTAGTTCGCGTTTGCAGAAGTAAGTGTCATGGCATATTCAATTATCTGAATCTGGGTCTTCTGCTTGGAAAAGGTCAAAACCTGAAATATTGTTTGAATGTCTTCAATTTCTTCAATATCAATGAATTCTTTTTGAATTTTCGTTGATCATCACTATAATAAAAATTAAACAAACGACTGTATATATTCATTTCAAATTATTTTATAGATATATTTGGCGTGTGTAGTTGAATTTATAATTATCTACGTGGTGAAGGTGTTATTAGATGACGTCATTTTAAATTGTATATTTGAGAGAAGAGGAAACGGGTCAAATATAATATTTTATCTTTTTTTTATTATTTTCTCCGAGAAGCGATGTGAGAAAAGAAAAAGAGCAAAACAATGATAAATTTATCAAAAGATGTCCCCCCCCCTCCCCCACATTTCTAGAATATCAGTTTTTCTGACCAATCACGAGGCAGATGGATTTATCGGGAATCCCCATTCAATTACCAGCAGCATGTCACTCCAGGTCAATAGACAAATGATGGCCCAGCAGCCGATACCCACACGTCACGTTTGGCCAGCCGCATTTATTCGTCTGCCGCGTAAATCTTATCTTTTGGCGGGAAAGAACAGTCGTCTGCTTTGTTATTACTGTTCCACACGGCCGCACGAATCTTTATAAATATCTGTTCTAATAAAACCACTTTTATCTTTTAGTTCTCGTTTGTTTGGTATTAAATTTGCATGCGTTTTTAGTGATTTACCAAACGAATATTTTATATATAAAAAGTAACGTTGTCTGAATGATGAATTGAGGGAAGAACACTAAATATGACACTAGGTTCTAAAATAAATGTTTGGATTTTGTTCTTTTTTTTTTTAAATCATATAAGTTAAACCTTCCATTAAGGACCTTTTAATAAGCGACCACATTGGGGAAATCAAAACTGGCTTGAACTAATTCAGGCTTCAATCATAAGAGACCAGGAGTATTCCTTTTTGAAGCGGTCTCTCCTGGGAGGTTCTACTTAACTGAAATTCAATAGTATTAGGTAGTATAAATATACATAGCCATATGCGAGTCATTAGCACACCATCTTTTTATTTACAAATATATAAATTATCATTGATTTAAACCTCCTATATATTAATTAAACAAATGCTACAGATTTCTGGAGATGAGTGTCGGAACGGAAATATCTTTATTTACGGGGCTGCTAACCAGGATCGATGATTTTTGAGCCCCGAGGTAATAGCCTACAGCACCCGGTATTCCCAGGTGGTCACCCTCCCAAGTACTGACCAGGCCCGACATTGCTTAACTTCAGTGATCGAACAAAGAAAAAAAAAACTACCCCCGTCGGGACACGAAGAGATGAGTTTCTTTATTGAAAAAAGATGAAGGAACTCATCTCCAGAAACACGTAGCATTTGTTTAATTAATATATGCAATATTTGTAGCGTGAACATTAGAGAAATTTTCTAACTGCAATGATATAAATAGTGAGATGGCTTGGCTTATATCAGTGGCCGAATCTCCAAGAAGTTTCACCAGTTCAATGCACCAGTCTGTTTTAATATTGTGTTCCGATTTTATATCCGGCACCATGCAACCTTGCTGGCCACGTAAGAGTTCGGCAAGTTCGTAAACACTCCATAGTAACACGTACCGTGTGTCGCCGGACATTATCTTGGCGAAAATTAAGCCTGACGTGATTTGAGAGGAACGGCAAAAAAAAAAAAAACAGGTTGTAGAATGTCATCTGCGTACTGTTGTTCTATCAGGGTGCCAGGAATGACTACCAATGACGTCCTGCTATCAAATGGAATGACACCTCAGACCATAACGCCCTGTTGTAGACCTGTGTGGTGTTCGAAAGTAAGGCCAGGATCCACGTGCTGTCCAAGATGTCTTCAGACACGTTTGCGACGGTCTTCAGGACACAGTAAGAAACGAGGCTCGTCACTAAAGAGTTTATGTCCCCAGTCAGCGCAGTTCCTAGTTGATCGCTCCCGACACCACTGTAGGCAGACTTGTCAGTGTACGGGTGTGAGGGATAGGCATCGTAACGGTTGACGAGCTCTTATATTCCTCTCTCTCTGTCATATGTTGGACAATTGTGTGCCGATCACACGTTGGATGGTAGATAACGTCAAATCCAGTGCTGCGACAGCCATTATGACAATCGCTCTGTCCTCCCGTTCTGTCTGGTCGACCGATGCCGTCCTGACGTTGTATTCTTCCGTTATTGACCAACTTAGACAACATCGTCTAATAGCTGCATCACTTTGCACAGATGTCGTGCGATTAGTCAATTTAACCAATCAGGCTTTTTCAATCCAATGGCAAGACCTTTTTCAAACTCTGACATATGTTTATATTGAGCACGAATCTTTCGGCGAGGCCTCGATACAGTATAAATAGGCTCACTGCAAAAAGATAACTAATATTAATAAACGGAAATTAAAAAAAAAAACAGCTCGTGCCGTGCCGAATATTGAGTCTAGAATACTCGTGCTGGAAGCGCAGTTCAGATGCGCGGAAGTTCTTGCTTTGCATAAATCGATCACCAAATTTCAATCATTTTCATGTTTGGTCGAAAAGTCTTTGTATACGTATTTTCATGTAAATCGGACAACTCCTTTGATTCTTTGTGTTATAGAGTATATATAAAATTCACACACAGGCAATTTGTTCTACAAATCTAATATATTACCCATTTTTAAAATAAGCCACGATATTCTTTGACGCATTTTTAAATATTTACAAAGCATTTAAATAACATTTTATACGATATTTCTATTTAATTCCAATAACTCTATCAAAATATCATTGAGAATAAATAGCGTATATAAATGTTCTTTATTAAAGTTTTTTTTTAAATAAATCTTTTTCTATTTTTATATTAAAAGAGAACTGTTAAGATTTACACCATAAAGACTATAATACAAATATACCACCACCATGATTTTTATTGTTTCTAGGCTTACGCTTGCCCGCCAAATGATAAAATTTCTTTTGCAAACGTACTTCCACGGCATACGAATGCTATTTATTGAATAAAGGAAGGCAGAGTATTCGATTAGCGTGGGGAACCTACACCCCAATAAAAGGCAAATATTGGAGCAATAAAAAGTGCAAGTTGGTTGCCTAAGGCAGTCCAGTAGTATTTAGACCAATCGAGAGATAGAGCCATTTTTATTCTATCTTCTGCTTTGTCCTCAACTCCCAAACTTGGGAAAATTAATAAAAATGGAAACACCAAAAATATCCCAAGTTGTTCCAAGTTATTTAGAAATCTGTGTGGATTTTTTTATTAGTTTATTATATTGGTATAGTCCTTTTGTGGAACTTTTTTTTTCTTTTTTGGAAAAGATTTCGAAGTGGTTTAATGGCTGCTTTTACTTTTTATTTCGAAAAAGTTGTTAGTGTATACTTAATTATAACTTGTGTTGCGTTTAATATAGGTTTTCTCTATTAAATATATTTTTATATAGATTGTGTGTTATCGCATTAAATAGATGATTTAATAATTATTCCAAATTTCGGTGTATTATACATAACTGTGGGTATCTGTATTCAACAAATAAATCTATCCGTGTATTAAATATTCCTGATGATATTTCATATTTGCACTTTAATAAATAAAATTTGCATATTTTAATACATTTCTGTTTATTATTATAGAAATTGTTAAAACTACCTCTTTACATACCTTACAGAGATGATATAAATATAATATTAGATTGTTTAGATCATCAGTGGTGAAACATTTAAGTGTTTTCGCCAAATATTCTTCAGTCATTGTGATTGATTTGTATAGAGAGTGTGTAAGTTCATTGGAAGACCTATCGTGGTTATTTAAGGAATTTATCGATATTTAAAATTATATACACTCATGGACAAAACTTAAGGAAGTTATACCTTTTACAATATATATCTGGATTCAGACAATGACTCTGAAAGATATTTGATACACAGTGACCTTTATTGAAGACACGAGATAACCAAGTGTGAATGAAACGACCTTTGTCTCCTTAAACGACAGTCATGAATATATATAAAAAAAAACAGACGACATCAAAGACATTTAACTTCTTTAAGTATTGTCCCTGAGTATATATAAATGATGGAATATATTTATATATAGAACTATTTTAAACTTCTACTGAAGTATAAATTGATGAACTCTACGTATATAGAGACTGAATTAACATTTCTATACGTAGGAGGGGTTCTCACTAGACCCCCACAAATGTGCAACTATCTACAGAGCTCACGTACGTTGCTATGTAAAATCAAATAAGAAAAATAACATGCTTAAAACACACTCACAGTTATTGTGCATACATTTGACACCAAAATACATTTACCTGGTTCGTTTGGAAAATTAATATTTTTTAAAATTGAATTATAATATAATATAATATAAATACGTATGAAGAATAAATCACAAAATTTTAAACCTTAAGATTCCGTATTAATATACATCTGGGTTAAGATATTTCAAGCCAAAAGGGGTTTCTTCACAGATCCAACACAATAGAATTAATTATTTCATTGTATTAAAGCGGTGAAGAAAGGTATTTTGACGTGAAAGCTCTTAGCTCAGATGTATTGTAATCTTAAGCCTTATAATTTGAATTTTGTGTTTTAAACATCATAGCAATTTAGGCCCACTTTAGGTATGAAGAGTAAGGCATTGTGTTTTAAGCATTTTGTTGGAATTATATTGCCTCATCTTTGTTATATATTCCTCTGGAGTGACACACATGTACACACCTTTCAGGGCTGATTCGACTTTTAATTGAACACAAGGTATCATCGCGCTATCTGTATACCAATTTGGAACCATTTAACGTCTTTTTCAGATAAAATGACTTCTCCTACTGTTTTTACAGCGATGGAAAAATAATGAGAAACTTAGCAGTGTTACACTATTCCAGAGCGGGTTAGCCTGTTTAATTGTGCTGGATATATTCCAATGTAATATTAGAGCGGTAGAGTTACTAGACTGGCAAACCGCTGGGAGTACTGGCCATTGATCAACCAAGTCCTCATATATTTTTCCATCGCAGTAAGAACACTAGGAAGTCAATTTAATTGAGAAAATTATCGCTGAATAGTTTCCTTTCTTGTATATTTAAATGCCTGAGCTACTAATGTGTAAGAATTATCAATTTGTTTGAAGGGTACACTTAACATTTTAAAATTATTGTAGCAATTCAGGATTATTAGAAAGATTTTATATTGAAGAACTTGCTCGAAAGGTCCTTTGTGACATGCAGGTTATACGTATGGGTGTACATAGGACGGGAATTTGGCCGACATATTGAGGCTATCCACGCAGGAAGGCTTGCAGGAGACACATACCGGCTAATGGAAGATACTAATATGCCGAATGAAGAATGGAGGAAGGGAAATTTGCCTCCGATTAGAGGAATTAATCAGCGGACCTTAATGGGATGGGCTGGTCACACGACTTCATTAGATTCTCTAATGGTGGATAATGATCTGTCCGGAGATTTGTGACCAGCCCGGTGTCTTCTCTGGTGGTCCCAGGGTCTTCTCTAGCCGTCTCCGTGTCTTTACTGGTCGTCCCAGGGTCTTCTCTAGCCGTCTCCGTGTCTTCACTGGTCGTCCCATGGTCTTATCTAGCCGTCTCCGTGTCTTCTCTGGTCGTCCCAAGGATTCTCTAGCCGTCTACGTGTCTTCTCTGGTCTTCTCGGTGTCTTCTCTGGTCTTCTCGGTGTCTTTTCTGGTCGTCCCAGGGTCTTCTCTAGTCGTCTCCGTGTCTTCTCTGGTCGTCTCCGTATTTTCTCTGGTCGTACCAGGGTCTTCTCTAGTCGTCTCCGTGTCTTCTCTGGTCTTCTCGGTGTATTCTCTGATCGTCCCAGGGTCTTATCTAGCCGTCTCCGTGTCTTCTCTGGTCTTCTTGCTGTCTACTCTGCCGTCGCGGTATCTTCTCTGGTCGTCTCGGTGTCTTCTCTGGTCGCCTTAGTAACTCAGTGTCTTCTTTGGTCGCCTCAATATTCTCTGGTCGCCCTGGTATCTTCTCTGGTGAACTCGATAACTCTGGTTGTCTCGGTGACATCTCTGGTCGCTTCAGTGTCTTATCTGGTCGTCTCGATGTCTTCTCTGGTGAACTCGATATCTCTGGTTGTCTCGGCGTCTTCTCTGGTTGCCTCAGTGTCTTATCTGGTCGTCCCGGTGTCTTCTCTGGTGAACTCGATATCTCTGGTTGTCTCGGCGTCTTCTCTGGTTGCCTCAGTGTCTTATCTGGTCGCCTCAGTGTCTTATCTGGTCGCCTCAGTGTCTTATCTGGTCGTCTCAGTGTCTTATCCGGTCGCCTCAGTGTCTTATCTGGT